TGTAAAAAAAAAAGACCAGCTTTCATAAAATAAAGGGAATAATGGTAAAATTGGGGTTTTATATGAACTACTGCTCAAAAAATATCTTAGAGGTCTGAACACATCAATTTATGAAACTTAAAATTTTGTACAAATGGACATATTACATCCCAAACACTGAATATTCTGCTGCTGTTCTTAAATTGCCCAAAAACAGCATTAGCTAGAACTGATGTTTAAATATGATTCTCCTTTATTGTTAGAATGAATATGAAGTTTCCTCCAGAACACAACATTGATGTTAACAGACATGTATACCTAAAAAAAAGAAAAAAGAATGTACACATTTTGAAGTGAGAAGATATACCAGTTTAAGTACATGAAGATGTGGAACCACGTGTCTTGTAACTGAGGATAAGAGCCTACCTTCATGATTCAGCATTCAAGGCGGCGTTGTTAGCTTATCTAACCATGTTATTATGGTAGGATTCATAAAGTGATCTCATTGCTCCAATTCTCAACAGGCAACTGGTGTCGACACTAATATTGTTTTATACTTTGAAGCTAGTTTTTGTTTATTTGAACTCCTAATTCTCATTTTTCTTTAAATATTAATATATCCAAGCAGACTTAGCATATAGAGCCATTGCCTTAACATTATATCAAAACAAATTAATAAGAAACTGTCTCTATACAAAGGGATAATGGCCCAGAAATACAAGAAAGGGGAAACCCTGATCCCTTGAAACAATCAGATTAATCAATTTTTAAAAATAATGATCTATAATCTAGTAATGGATTAAATAAGAATGTAGACTCTAAAAAGGGCCATTTGCTGAAAGAAAAACCAATGCAAAACAGAATCAAGTCAAAATTGTAAAAAATATTTTATTTTGCCTTCAAGATTAAAACGCCTGAGTCAATGGGCTCTAATCACTTCTAAAGTGGCACAGTTTCAGTTTCAACTGGATTAAATTCTGTTTTGTTTTTTTCAAACTCCTGTGCAGCAAAAGTTATGTCTATTTATAGTTGAATTATCAGAAAATAATCAATGATAAAAAATCTTTAGCTGCAGCTTAAAATGGGTTTATATGATTTTATCAAACAACAGAAGGTCATTCAAACTCTTAGAGTCGATAATCTGCAATACATATCTTTAAACAAGAAGTAATCTAATCTAAATCAGGATTGTAATCTCTAATATTTAATTACACAATCAGACGGGATCAGAATAACCAGGAAATGTAGACTGTTAATAAGTTTTTTTTTATTCTTTAAAATAATTGTCACTAATGACCTTTGCTTATGTTTTGGTGTTTTAAGTTCTTCCATTTTATTTTGTTTCTTTTAATATTTTTTTACTCTAATACTTGTAGTGGGACCCGTGGAGGAGTGACCTCTATGTTATGGGCTAATGGGAATCCTTAAGTAAACTAAACAAATCAATACATATTGGGTATGACAAACTCTTTAGAAGATACTAAACATTACTACAAGACAGCCAGTTACAGTTACACTAATTTAATGTCGGTCGAAAAATATATTTTTAATTTCATGAATCAATTCTGATCTGATCAATTATAGTTTCCAGAATGCAGTATAGGATAGCAGAATATAAAATAGTGATATACTTACAAAGGATATGCAAGCAGCAAGTAAAAGGATCCTCACAAGCAGATCTTCAAATTGTTCAATTACCAGCTCCCACAGAGATTTGCCTAGAAACGATGAGGTTTGAGGGTGAAATTTTGTTCTTTATTAAGAAAACAATTAAGGACGACAGGTTAATATTTTTAGGTGAGATCACTGAACTGTCATCTTACCCTCTTCTGCCGGTAATTCTGCAGCACATCAAGGCGCCAGGGAGAGAGAGATGGGAATACAATTAGTTAAACGTGATTACTTGAGGAGGGATAGTGAGTTGTGGGCTGATTATTCTACACATTAACTTTAACTGAATTTATTGCCAGAGTATTTTCGCATTGGATGTTTAGCGATATTTCAACAGCACACTGACATTAACAAGCTTCCCCTTTTCTGAGGACTGCCGTTACATCATGGCCCCGCACATGAACAGAGTAAATCAGCATTTTCTTCTCCTCCAACGAACCCATTTCAACCAGCTCCTTACCATTAGCTCCATATCGTTCCCGCTGTTTCTTCACATCTTCTAAACTCAGGCCTGTGCTCTCGTTCACGTTGAAAAAGCTAAAAACTTCCTCCACCGTCTTCGTGTGAGCGTTGTCCATGGTTAACGGTAGCTCGAGGACACAGCTTGTTCCCGTTGCTCCTAACCTTTAACCGGGCAGTATCCTGTTCCTCCGCCCGGTCTGCTCCCACGCGTTAATTTTTTTTTTTAAATAAAAGTACGGAGTCAAATGCTGAATAAAGTCCACGGTAAGCTGACAGGTAGTTGTACGCAGGACAGCGTGGGACGCAGGTGTACGCCGACAACGGACGAATTAACGGCTCTTTGCTAACCAGAAGCTAACAGGCTAAAGCTATGTTGACTCTGCTTAAATTCGCCGGCTCGGTACTGCTAGCTTTCTCGTGAGACCTTTAGCAAGATTTCATGTCGACGTCACATCAGTTGAACGCCGCCGCCGTCTTCCACTCGTTTTTAAATCGATAAATCTAAATACGGTCCGTCTGAATTGGTTATTTAAACATGTGTTAAGAGTTGCAGTTTGGCTCCTCTCGCACGCTCCGGCTATGTGTTGCGGAATCACCAGGGTTGTGATCGGCACCAATCGCGTTTCTTCGTCGAATGCGGAGTTCAGTGTCCGCATGTGGAATGCGCTGATTGGTTGGACAAACCGGATGTCCTATTTTCTCCGTCCACTGTTCGTTTGCATGAATGTAACGTCATAGCTTCGCTCACATTTCAGATAACGTTGGGGGATCTAATATATTAACGTTAACATCAAAAACAGACTAATTAACCCTCATATATTTGATTAATAAATAGGTATTTATATTTGGATAAATGTGTATCTCTTATTAGTAGTTTGTTTTTAACTGGAACTACTCATAATGTTCATAAGTTGGTCAAACAGTATTTTTAAATTATTTTGAAAAGCTCAAGACAATTCCTGAGAATCCCTAAGACCTACAGAAGTTAAGCACATATAATAAATAAGGCTTTTTCTTTTTTCTTTTATGTATGGTAAGAATATGTGTACATATATGCATTGTTAATTTTTTATTTCCTTTTTATGCTACACTCTAGTGGTTCTATTTTGTATTTGTAGTGAAGACCACTATTTTTTTATTTAATCATTTATTTATTTATTTATTGTTTTGTTTTCCTCTGTTCTTTTGGTCTAAGATGTATATGTGTATATATAATGACTCACTAATGTTTTATTACTTTTTATTCTTGTAGGTAGACGCATAGTAGTTCTGATGGGTGGGGGGGGTGAATTTTATAATGTAAAAAAAAAACTTATCTGTTGGATATGAACTGTTTGTTTTGTGTTTAATAAAAAGATATCTAAAAAAAAGAGTATTTTGTTGTAGCACTGTATCTAGGCATTTAATAAAAGACAAGTATCATATGTATATTTAGCTACAGCATGGTTAAGGGGCAAATAATCAGTATATGTCTGATTTCACAAGCGTAACTTTCTGAAGGACTGTTGTGGACATGTCCCCACCAATAATTTTAGGTGAGATCGACTTTGGCAGTATGTGGGACTAATTTCTAAATTTGATTTTGTTGATTTTGAAGGAGGATAATCACTAATGTAGCTTAAAGGAAAAAAAAAAAAACATCCATCAATCAATCCACATTTTCCCCTCCAACTTTCATCACAAAGTTACACCCTGGGCTGAATTTTATATTTTTTCCTTATTGCCTAAATCTTTAGAGTGATGGCATTAGATTTACTAACAATATTTTGCTGTTGAGTTATCAGGACTCTCTTTCTTTTGGAAGTAGTATCAGATTACACTGGACACTAGCCAGACTTCTTGTTGGGCCACATGCTGGGACAGAACAAGTACATTTTTAGCATTTGTTGCTGTCTTTTAAAATATTCTGATTGGTTATGGTTGTTATTTTTCCTGCTTGCTTACAAATTCATATGTACCTTTAAATTGACAATGAAAAACTACATGGCTGTTTTTGTTTTTTTGTTTGTTTTTTTGTGGTTTTTTCACACTTTTAGTTTAAACGAATAATGAATTAGGAAAAAAAACATTCAACCTGCTCTACTTAATTTTCTTACTGAATGATTTTTATTTTTACCGATACACGTTCAGTTTGATAAAACAGTGACACGTGTTTTAAATTCTTCAATATGTATGCAATGCCTACTTTCATAATATTACTTTTTAAAATCACCTTTACCTTACCATGACACCCATGTTAGTTGCAGTTCCACAATTACATACCACGGCTTTTCAGAGGTTTTGGAAGTCCATGTTGTAAATTTATCAATTTTATAAATAAACTGAAAATGTTCCCCAATAATCTGATATGGTTCACAAAGCAGGATGGCTCCATCACTTATCTTCTTTTAGTCAGGAAGTCCCACTGAAGTTATAATTGATTATACAAGGGAGCTCTGGCTATGGTAGCAGTATTAAATACATAAAGCAGATGTAAAATAATTAAACAAAATCACATTAAAAGTTTGAATGTGTCTGATCTTCTGGTTTTTTGATTCAGTAATCCAAATATCAGCTATCTTGAGGCCAGAAATGATTTGCTTCAAAAGTATTACCAGTTTGTAAATCCCCTTGAATAAATGTAATCACTTAATAATATATTTTTTAACAATTCTTAGCCACTTATGGCCTTTTAAAAATGATTAACCAATCTCCACAAAGCAGGATAAAATATCCTAGCTTATAATCAAATTCCAAGTCTTTATGGATCTGCTTGAGAAACAATCCCAGTCTCTGTCAGATTTGAAATTCAAATTGGTGATATAACAAAGTTTCCCCCTATCCTTTTCTCTCTTTCTCCTTATCATAGTGGGAACAAGTCTTTATCTATCAAATGAGTTCTGTGAGTCGTCACTGGAATGAAACAAATCATTATCTTGGTAAGTCTGGGAGAGAAGAGTCTTTTTAATCTGTTCTCATCGGATAACCAAAAGAAGTTCCAGAAGCTCTGTCAGTATCGGTTGTTTTTTATCTGACAGACACGTTTATTTCCAGACACTTAGATTAATGTGCAGTGCCACAGTCAGACACGTCCATATTGATAACGAGAAACAAGTCTGTGCAGCTTAGTTTCAAGAGATAAAACAACAACACTGGAATTAATCAATAAAATGTTTGGATACAAAACAGCTTTAGAGGAATATGCTGCTGGATATAAGATCCCTTATGTCTGATAGATTGCTCAGCTTATTTAATATTACAGTTTAACAAGGTTTGTCATAATGTGGTATTAGTCATGTCCAGTAATACAGCCTTTTAATGTTTGCCTTTCCATCTGTCAGTTGAGCTCTCCAAGATGAATGTTTCTCAGTGCATCTACAACAATTTTTTCATATTCTATTTTGTATGTCTTTTTCAAGGACAACTGGATTTGCATAAACATCCTTTCAAGAAAGCTCACATGAATGGGATCTTACTGCCCTCTAGAGGTGAGGCGTGATACTACAGCTTGTGGTCTTTCTGACCTTCATAGCCAACATTTGGAGGACTGTTACACCTTTAGTGGGTATTTCCTTCAATTTAAATCTTTTTTTTTTCTTTTAGAATGTCAGATTGGAAACTATTGGGAGATGATCATTCAGATCTTATAATAAATAATCAAGGTGGTAGTATACCCCTGACGTAGCAGTATCCCTGCAATCAAGCTGATGTTTTTTTTAGAGCACTTTACAGATGGCTCATGGTTGGGCTGGAGATAACCAGACATTGTTTCTGATAACTCGGTCATTGTGAAGATCAATGGGAGTGATTGGAAACAGAATTAGCTGAGTTTGACTGTGTTTCTGATGGGCAGCTATGTGTATATACATATACATATATATATATATATATATATATAGATATATAGATATATATATATATATATGTGGATGCACTGTTTATACTGTATATATATCCCATGCACCTTTTATTTCCTTTGGCACATTCTTCTTCTTTGACTATTTGAGCTGATGTAACGAGTACATTTCTCCACTGTGAGATCAATAAAGTCAAACAATCAATAACTTGTCCTCACCTAAAGCATACTTTTCCATTGACCCGTTCAACACTTTGTGATGTGGAAGCCACAAACCTCAAAGGTTGTTATTGGGATTATATTTGACAAAACAACATGAAAGATTTTCATCATAATGATGAGGAAGGAAATTAATACAGGATTTTTAACAAACTCAAATTATTCAGAAAGAATGAAATAAAAGGGTATTTTTTAGGATGTAGTGTCAGTTTTCCATTGATTTCTAGTTGTAGGATGATAGACGGAACAGTAATAAATAAAATGTTCATTACTTGGGACATACACCCTTCCTTTAAATATCTATTACTTTAATCCCAGCCTGTCTGGGATTTTCCTTTGTTTTCGTGATGCTTTTTGTTCATAAAAGTTAGACAGAGATTAATAACCCAAGAGGGGTCAATTTATATGGGGACTTCTAAAGGCTATCTAAACAGAAGGAGCTGAAAACAAATGCTCACCTCACTTATCTGTAAAAAGTCCTGAAAAAGTAGTACTACCTTTGACTATAATTGTGGGATAATAAGATAATAATTAAGGGAGAGCACTGCCACCCTGCAGAAAAAGCTCCGCCTAGCTTCTTAGGGGGTAGGGGCTTAAATTCCCACTGGTAGGGTCTCCTATGGCAACAGTCTCTAGGTGGTACATAAGGTATCCCGTCCCAAGCTTTTAAAAATTGTTTGCTGGAATTGTGGTCCGTTCCTGTTGACATAACGGCTGCGAGAGCTATGTTTTTATAAAAGGTTTATTAATAGCTTTTTTTTTAAAATACAAAATCTGACATCCAAAATTTCTATCACCTACTCTGCTTTTTGAGTGCATTCGAGTCAAAACAGTAGAATTAGACCAAAACAACATGATATGGTTTAAAACCAATGGATTGTCTCTCCAAAGTGTGGAAGTATTTATAGGTAGAAGGGATTTAATTTTAATGACAGGAGGTAAAATGAAAAAAGAGGAGCTCCCATTGATAAAACAATTGGCTTTATAAAGAAATTATTTTCAGAAGACAAATCACCCAGACTCTAAACATAAAGGAAAACAGTTTAATCTTAGAATAATAGTAATAATCCACATATTCTTAGTAGAAATGTCTCCTACATCAAAACACAAAGTGAATTACCAACAATCCAAGGCAGCAAGTTGCATTTTATTTTGTATTTTATAGGATAAACACTAAGAAGTGCTTTAACACTCCAGGTTAAAATATCTGAAAGGAAGTCCCGGTGAGAGTTCGGTCTCATTGAAATCATAAATCTATGCTTCTTTTAACCAAAAACTTGTGTTACATTCAACTGAAAACATTACATGCAGTAGTATAAAGTGGAAGGGTAATGATATAAAATGCTTCCTCCTTCATCCTTCATCCAGCAAGAACTACTCAGCATCCTCCCAATCCGAGATTCCATCTTTAGTTTGGGGTCATCCAAATAGTCCCACGACTGTTTTAGGAGTAATTGATTTTACCTGTGGTTAATGTTGCCCATTTCTATGGTGGAAAAAATGGAAGAATGGGTGTCTGCTTGTTGATTAGTTTACTATAAATGTTTTATTTCTGACCAAGATGAGGACTTGGTGAATAATTCTTAATCTAAATTCATATCACAATGCACAGTTTAAGTTAACTAAACTGATTTGAGTTTAATTTTAGCTGTATATGAACTTCCTCAGTTTGTACCTTTAGATAATTTGCTTTGATTTTGTACTGTATAAATAAAAATGAATGTAACAGTTCCAATACTTCAATGTACTGTATTCATATGACTATCCTGGTCAGTCTCTCTACCCAATATGGTGGTTTCAGACACAACAGGCAGCTATCTGTTGGAAATATATTTATTTTTAAGGCTGGTCACTATTTCATTCATCTGAAATAAACAGTTTATTGAAAAAGAAAGCAGATTTAAATTCTGAAATCACTGTTTGTGAGAATAGAAATATGTTTCCACCAAGTTCCATAAACACACATTATTTTTGGCATTAAAAGTTCAAACATTTCTGGGAACAAAACTGAGTCCACAATTCTGTATTTCTTGTACATTTTCCGAAATTCTGAAAAGGCTCAAAACTATGCATGCAATCCTGCTTACATGTTCAAAAAATTAATCTGACTTTTACGACATTGATAAAAACATCTGGCCCTGAACTTTTGACATATAGCTGCAAATCATCTGTTTACGCCATGTTTTCATTTTTGTTTTAATAAAACAGTGCAATAGATTCTTTTCAGCCATTATCAAGTAATAAATGACTCAAATTTCTTTTTAACACAAATGGAAAAATAATGCTGGTGTTGGAACAATTTCCTTGTATTCTGACATATAGTTACAGACACATAAGAACTAGAAAAACAATTGGAGAATTCTGTCAAAAAAGCCTCTTTGTTTAAAACTTTTAAACACAATGAGAAATCATAAAAAAGGGAGGGAAAAAATTATAAACCCATAGTGGGTCAAACAAAGACCCTGCACATTACAAGCCAACCTGTGGCACAACAATAAGGAAGACGTTTATGATCCCTCCTTTGATTTTTTACTATTAACATCAACTGAGTCATTTTCAGTTATTGACTTTAAAAGAGGGAGGTTTGTTAAACATGAATAAGTAAATATTATTATTACAGTGCGGGCATTTCATTGCATTCCCATAAGCCATGGTTACATCAGGAGAAGAGGATTGAGAATAGGAATGTTCTTCTTTAGACGTAGAGGGCTGCGGATCAAAAGCTGAATCTGGTGAGGCTTCTGTCAGAACAGGCTTCACTGAGAGCTCAGGCTCCGATGGGACTGTCTTCTTGGAGGGTGGGGCATCGTGAAGGTGAGGCTTCTTGGAAGGGGGGGCGGCTTCTAGGAGAGGCCTCAAAGAGGGTGAAGAAAGTAGCTCAATGAGCGGGTCCTTTGGAGGTGAGGCGGGTTCCAGGCATGACTCTGGGATTGGTTCTCCTTCAATAACCCCCTGACATATCAGCAAATGCTTCTTCATGTCCAAACGGCGCATAACTGTCCGAGAACAAAGCGGACAGTGGAAATGTCCCTGTGGTCTACACTGAAGGCTGCATCGGAGTAAAATTTTGTCTGCAGGAGGAAAACAAAAACAATGCAATGACATGTATTCACTATGATTTATTTGGGTCCATTGCTTCTCAACATACATGAATTTAAATGACATGTTGATTCAAAGGTTTTAATATAATTCTAATCCAATCTGCAGCTCATATCTGGTATTTCTTTTATTATAGTTGAAGGCGTGTATATGGAAATATTGGACTATTCTGTGAAAAACCCTGAAAGTTGCTTTAAATCTAGATTAAAAATGTATTTATTCAGTGTGGCCTTTGACTGTGCTATCTTAAAATAATATGGTTTCAATCCAACTTCCCTTCCATTATATTCCCCCATCTATCTATTTATCTTTTTTACATAATAATCATACTGTAATTTCTCATTTTTATTACCTTTATGCCAAAATACAATAAAAAACATAAATAAAATACAAGGAAGTCATGATATAAAATCTAAAAAAAAAAAGCTCATTCAGAATGAACATAATCAACAAACCTTTATAAGGTAAACCATGACTAATATGGTGGCTCATGTGTTTCTCGATCCTTTCCTTCACAGTGGGTTCGAAGTTGGGGCAAATGGGGCAGTGGAAAAGTTTATTACAGCATGTGTTGCATTCTTCCAAAGCAATCTTTGTGTTAAGATCAAAGATTGAGACGTGCATCTGAAACAAACATGAAGCAGAGGAACTGCAGTTACAGGTTTGAAATACCACTACTGCCTAACCTAAAACCATTTCTGTTTTAACTGATATACAGTCAAAGTAAAAAAAGAAGGTACACCCTTTGTGCAGGTTTTTCATACCAGGGCATGATAAAAAGATTAGAATTATTACTACATCCTAAAATTGTTCAAACCTGCCCACAACAAACAGCTATGCATGATTCTATAACAGGTGAATACTTGCTATATCAGTTGTAATAAAACAAAATTCTTGTGATTTTCAGATTATGACATATTCTGCACCCCCCACTAAATTGTTCAAAAATGTACAGATTCTGATTTTCATTTTTTTTTTTTTTTTTTTTTTTACAAAAATAGCTTATAAAACTTCACTGCTGAGATGCAGACCATCATCATAAAGCAATATACTATAAAGGAAGATTTGAAACATTTGTTATGGCTACCTTACACCCTGACCTAGCAGCTAACTCAGACATGGCAAACTACGGCCATACGTTAAGCTTTTTAATCCGCCCTGCCGATCTTGCTCACTACTTCACACCCTGAAATAGCACTTAGCCTGTCAGATCGTCATACGCTGTAGCACAAATTCAAGAGAATAACATACCAGAAATCTACTAGACTGCTTTATATGTGATATAATAGAAAAAAAAGTTGTAGTCGAAAGAGCTAACCTCTAACCCTGATGTAGTAGCTAACCCAGACATGGGCAAACTATGGACCCCGGGACATATAGGGCCCGTTAGGGTTTTTTTATCCGGCCCACTGAACTTGAACAAATCATAGTAAAAACCCATGGATGTTTAGAAACCTCATTAATTTCCCTTTATTTTGCAATACCCTTGTTTCCCCCATTAGGCAGCGCACTAGTCTAGACACATTGCTGGAGTGCAACTTTCCAGCTGCCATTTCCCCCCTTCGGTAAAAATGACAGGAAAGATGCTGCTCAGCTCCTAATTTTTATCAGAGGGATAAATGACAGTTTGGTATAACGGAGGAGCTTTTGAGTATGGACTCGCTGAAGGGAAAAACTCGAGGAGAGAACTTATATGAACAGGTTTCTGCTGTCATCGAGAGAATGAAGCTGCCTTGGAGTAAACTTGCCAGTGTCAACACGGATGAATTTCCAAATTCAACTGGAAGAAACGTTGCGCTGCTGAAAAGAATCCAAGATAAATTAAAAGAAGTTTTTTTCACTGTCTCATTCATGAAGAATTTCTGTATTGCAGCTTAACCATGTCATGGATCCAGTTGTTAAACTTGGTAACTTCATAGGAGCAAGGGGACTTATTCAGAGTCAGTTCATTACGTTCCTAGCGGAAACCGATGCAGATCACTAGGACTTACTTTACCACTCTTGTGTCCGCCAGTTAAGTTTGAGGAAAGTGCATCTATGAGTTTGGGAGCTCGCAGAGGAGATTCATTGGTTTTTGGAGCGAATGGGGAAATTCGACAAATTCCCTGATCTTAGTGATGATGACTGGCTTTGAAACTTTGCGTTTGCTGTGGACATATTGTCACACATGAATGAGCTGAATGTAAAAGCTGCAGGGAAGAAATCAGTCATGTACATGTACACAACTTTGAGAGCCTTCGAATCCGAGCTGATTTTATTCTCCAGGCAAATGTCAAACAAATCTTTTGCTCATTTTCCCACACTGGCCATGCAGATGGCCATTGGTCCATTGATTTTGGAAAAATTGACAAGTCACTTCAGGTGATGTTTTGTCCCCTTTTACAAGACCCCAAAACAGCACCGCATGAGCTGCAACTGGAGCTGCTCAATCTTCAGTTTGACTCTGTCCCAAAAGAGAAGTTTCTTCAACTTAATGACTTTTACGCCTAACTTAACGAGGCCACGCACCAGTACATTAACTAAATTAAACTGCTACACATAGCTCTCAATGTTAAGACCCATTTCTTTCATCTGGTAATAATATGACCTGAATGCTGAAAGTCATTCCATTGATCTTTTTCCTCTAAATGTTGATTTCTTTGCACCTTCAATTGTGTCTGTTTTTAATACATTTCGATCCCCAGGTTTGATAAATCACATTGCATGTCCAAATGCTCCTGGCCCGGCCCCTCTGTCAAAATTTAAAACCCTTTCTGGCCTGCGAGATAAAAAGTTTGCCCACCACTGAGCTAACCTGTCAGATCATCATATACTAAGCCAGTCAGATTGTCATACACTAAGCCAGTCAGATCGTCATACCCTAACCTGAGGATCAACTCCCACACACCTGATACCTGTTGATTAAAATTAAAATGTGCAAGGATAGCATAGAAGAAAAAAAAAAACTACAGGAAATGCAGTGGATGGTTACCTTGGTGCAATCCAGCGTCTGAAAGACCTCCATTGGAGGCCCGAATCTCTGGCACTGCTCACATTCAGACACCTGAAAATGTTGCTGTTTTTCAGTTTTATGGGACTTTCGAGCTTAAGCATATTGTTAAGAATTTGGAAACATACCCATTTCTGTATGTCTGATGTCATACCAGGCCAAAAAAATCGAGAGCACATGGAAATGCGGGTTTTCACAATACCAGTGTGTTTTCCTGTGGGTGAAGCATGAAACTCCTTGAAAAGGCTCCAGGCCTCCTCTCTAGACTTTATGGCCCGTCTGTGAGGTGAGGCTCCAAAGAATAGGTGTCCAGCTTCATTGAAAGAATGTATGCATTATATCATTATCATAGAAAATGTGTTTGTTTAAAATATCAAAGCCTTACCATGGATGGTGAATTTAGAGGCAAATTTTCTCAGCGTTTGCCTTTGCCCTCTGGTACTTGTAGGTGGATAGGAACCTTCAGACACAAGGTTGTAGATCTCGTCCCATTTGCTCTCCATTTTTGCTATAACACAATATACATCAAATAAGCATTTTAACAAGAACGTCTGTTGATGATTTTATACAAATTAAGATTTTCTTTTTTATATTAAAAGTATGTGCAGTCCCTGGAAAGTTCAATGATATAAAAAAAAAAAATATGTGGCAAATTTTTTCAGAAATTTGATCATAGATTGAACTATTCCTTTAATCCCAACATTGACAATGATTATTATTTTTTTTTTTATTGGCAAACTACAACTTTGCATTTTGCTCATGTTTGATTCACTTCAATTTATCTTCAATTTATCTTCCTTTTGCTCTGCCCATCCAAGATGACGTCATGTCCAAATCAAAGTTTTTATTTCACTTTTATATTTTTTTTTAATACAAAACAGTTATCAATGCAGACAAGTATTTTTCATTTTTTTTTACAGACATATAAAAAAAAAAACAAAAGGCAAAAAAAATCAGAAGCCAGGGGGAGAATTACATAAATACATTCAATAAAATGCACATTGTTTTTACAGCTTTTTTTTGTTAGTGCAATCAGAAATGTTTACTATTTAATGTTAAACTCTTTTTTTAAATGCTGCAAAAGAAGCGACATTATGAGTTATTTAAGTTTTTTTTGCATATGAAATTCCCTCTGGAGGAAATCGTCAACAATTGGCGGGGGCGGAAGGCATGTTATGGAGCTGCGGGTGGATCCTTTAAAACTACCTCGACGCGCAGGTATCCCTTAAGTTATGTATAAATAACACACTTTAAACTATTATAACACGCGTGTAACCATTAAATTATGTAATAAAAAAAGCAAACAAAAAACACAATAAAATTACTTGCTTTTTGTTGTTTTTTTGTGGCGTATGGCGAACTGACGGCTCCTCCAGTCGGTCATCTAGGTGATCTTCTTCTTCCTCTTTGTTAGATTGACGGATTGTAAAAAACGTATAGGTGCTTACCGCCACCTACTGTACATGAGTGTGTAGTTCTATAGTTCCACCTACTATATTCTATTTTTTATTTTTGTGTTATGTAAAAAAACAACAACAATGCTTTAACAAAATGTTCCTCCTTATTCCTTTAATACTCCATTCTCTCCCTTTTCCATAATGCAATCCATCAAAACATGATCCACATTTTCTTTTCTTTCACTACCATCACATATATCATTATTTCTCTTCCCTATACAAAAACTCATGCAAGTAGGTATGTCCAGTTCTTAATCTAGTATAAATTATCTCTTCCCTTCTGTTTCTTTCTCCATAATTTTTAACAATTACAGATTTTTGAACCCTATATAATCTTCTTAATTTCTCATCTTCATCCCATATTTTTGCCTTAATTCTGTTTCTTTCCCCTTAATTATTGGTTTACATTTCCCTTTCCCAAATTGAATCTGATCTATATTCTGCTTTCCTAAAGCCTTTTTAGCTATCTTGTCTATTTCTTTGCTCTCACCCCTTCGTGTGCTGGAACCCAACAGAACTGAACATCTATTCCATACCTAAATAACCTAAATCAACTCTGATGAATTTCTAGTTAATGGTATTTCCTGTTATTTCCTCCTGAATGAATGCTTTCTATTTCAGCTTTAGAATCTGTGCAAATCACCACCCTGTCTGGTCTGACCTCCTCCACCCACTGTAAACTAATAATAATTGCTACCATTTCTGCTGTATATATAGATAAAAAGGTCTGTTAATCTTTTACATATACATATATTAAATTCTGGAATGAATTCTTCTTCTTCTTCTGCTGGAGTTTCACTTCCAGAGAGTCACACAGAACATGGAGGATTTTATTCATTTGTGGGGTTTTAAAAACATTTTATGTACTGTGTCAGATGATGGAGAACTGCATTACAACAAGCTCCTCATTAAATGCTTTTACTTTAATAGTGATTTTTTACCTGACACTTGTTTTTACTTCAGTTGTTTATATGTTTGAATTGTGTAGATAGAAAAAGGGTTCTTAAAAGGTGTTCTTCTTCTTCTCCTTTTTTATGGCAGGTGGCACGCAACTTATTGATGTGCATTGCCTTCATCTACTAGAATGGAGTGTACATCGGGATGCTATACATAAATTCCCCCCCAACCCCCCTAAAAGAAAAAAAATAATAATAAAATAATAATAATAATTAAGTTAATAAATCTTATATTCTTTCTAGAAATGTCGTTTTCTTAAGGTAATTTCATTAAATAAAAAAACAGTTAGACGTAGAAGGTTTGTCCAAAATATCTTCTATATTTAATTGCTATTTTTATTTTCTTGTAATCGACTAACTAAATGCATCTCGTGGAGCGGATAAGAGCGGATCTATTTCCTCCTTCATTTCCCCTCACTCACGCAAACCTGTAATCTCGCGATATTTTCTAAGGTCAAAGTTAGCAGCACCATGTGTGACTGAGGAGAGGAGCTCTCCATTTATTATTTACATTATCTGCTACGGTATCAGTTTAACTGCAAGGAAAAGCTTTACTTTGTTAGTCTAACTTTATGAAGGGTTAGCATTAAAGCCTCTTCAATGAACGTTTTTCGCGATATTTTTCCTAAGTTGATGGAGCAGGTAGGATGCCACCGCTGCTGTTGGAGCCGATAATGAGTTTTTCAGCTTGATATGTTTAAAATCCGACCGCTATTAAGTGCCTTAATAAACTACAGACAGTTGCTGGAGAGAAACGGTGAGTTAAAGTTAAAGAAAATACAGCAACTCATTCTTTATTTCTGGTGTTTGGTTTATAAACATGCTATGCTTAACCTGCAGGTTATAAGTTCTTGTGCACAATGACTGAAGCATCCACAGATCAGCAGACAGCCAAGCTGTTGAAAAGGGAAAATGAGGATTCAGCAGAAAGAGTCAGTAAAAGACTGAAATCAGAAGGAGAGCAAGCTGATGATGACAGGAAGTATCCTAAAAAGAAAGTGGCCCTTCTTTTGGCATATTCTGGGAAGGGATACTATGGAATGCAGGTATGTTTATTTGCTTTCTGTAGAAATGGTGCAAAAAAAAGATGATCTAGATCTTAACATGTGTTTTTAACAGAAACCGCAAAAGCTCTCTCACAGAGTTGGCACACATTAACACAACCAGAAACAATTATTCTGATTCTTCCCTAGATATTAAATAGAAATGTGGGTCTTGACTTTAATTTTATATACACAGAGTGTACACAAAATTCAATTTTGTTACCTACAGCTTTGTGACAGCAGCGATCAAAAATGTAAACATTATAGGAGAGACATGGTGCAAATTGATGTTTAAGGTTCAGAGCAGTGCAAAATAAATAAATAGATATGGTGCAAAATGCAGTAGAAACACTGAGTTGAGTTCTATTTTGAAGATTGACCATGTAGTGCAAGTATAATCTCATTAGTGTGATGCAGAGTTTCATTAATAACACTATACTTGATTCGTGCATTTAAGGTTAGAGGATCCTCAATGCACAGAATATTTGCAACTTTTGCTCCACCTGCTTTGTCAGAGCCTGTAATTGATTGATAACTGACCATTACTTGTGCTGGGTGGCAGTCTTTTGGTTTCTCTGATGGTCAAGTTGTCTTTTTTTAATAAAGAAAAGTGCATAGGCCTAATTTCACACAGCTGACTGACAGTGTAAAAATACAGTTTGCTGTATTACCTTGGAGGGTGTGTGTACAGTTAATTTAAACCTCATACAGATGGAAAAAAAACTCCATCCACTGTTCCAATTTCTGTAGTATTTTACTGAAAGGATTAACTATGTGAATGAAATAACAAAAGGGGTTTCCGTCTATTCTTTAGGTGCACTCTGGAGAAGCATTTAGAGTAACTTGCCATGCATTATTTTAGTCATCAGCTTAAGACAAATGTTTTAGCAAAACATTGTATTTAAGAAATTCAAACATTAGATCTCTACATAACTTTCTAGAAGTCATATAGGGAAGATAAATGTTTGTAAGCTGCAAGCCTCATTTTTCATCCCTATTCTCTTAAAGGATTGTGCTGATTACCTGCACTTTTAAGCCATGCCTCCTAATGGCCCACAGTTGATTTTGGCACTTTTTAGTTTTATTTTAGACATTTAGTCACAGATGGAACATCATTCCCTGCAGCTCAATCAGAAACAAACAAACTACAACAAGAAAAATACTTCAGTTTTAATATTTGGCAATACACTTGGCAAACAAAGAAACTTGTTTTCTGACAGAGAAAGTGAACATCGTTTCTTTCCTTTAGAGGAATCCTGGAAACTCCCAGTTTCGAACCATCGAGGATGATTTGGTCGCCGCTCTGGTAAAGTCTGGTTGCATTCCTGAAAACCATGGTGATGAAATGAAGAAGATGTCTTTCCAAAGATGTGCCAGGACAGATAAGGTATGCATTTAGAAATCTATTCCAACTATGACAGAAAAGTCTACAAAACTAAGTTTTTCTGTCTGGATTTACTTAATATTGGTGATAAAACTGTTAAATAGTATTTGGCTCATATTTATGTATTGGCTGGTATATTTTCTTTGCAGGGTATTGCCATACATTATTAAATGTTTTTTCTTTTCTTAACCAGAAACTTCTTTTTTTGCCTTTTGGTTGATATTCCTTAGGGTGTTTCTGCTGCTGGTCAGGTGGTTTCATTGAAGCTCCGTTTAATGGAAGACGTAAAAGACAAAATCAATGAGCATCTACCACCACAGATCAGGGTCCTCGGTAAGATTCTTGCAAATAAGTTCTTGCCCTAAAGGGAAAAAAAAAAAAATTAGCTGCTAGTTGGGATTTGCTGATTTTTTTTTTTTTTTTTTTAGCTTTTCATTCCTGATCTTCTCATAAAGACCGGTTTGCATTGATAACAACACGGAAATAGAAGAAGCTGCAATGTGTTAAAAGATATTTAAATGGAAGCTACATTGTTTATATCCACGCGTCAACTGCTGATTTGAGGCATCTATAGCTGAGAACAATGTTTAATGGGTTTAGATTTTTCTCAATCTGGGCCATTTTTCTCATTTGGTTGTTTCATACCCAGCTTTGTCGTGCATGAAAGTAAATTGCCAGCTACTTGGTGTCAATTTATACAAGTCTGCAGGTCTTAAATCTGCTCTTTTTGTCATGAATCATTCTGGATTTAGAAATGTTGGCAGCTTTATTTGAAATCTCATAGTTATGGAAGCGTAAAGCTTCTGGGAGTACATAGGGAGACTGCTGTTGATACTAAGTAATGCTTTTTGATTGCTAATATGATAAAAGATGCAAATGCTGTTATTTATAGATCTAAAGATGCTATTTAAACTTCTAATATGTGCAGTGACTGGTCAAATGTTTATCCAAAATGGAAACCAGTTGTTCTGTTTTTTAAACGCTGTGTTTATGGTGGATTTTTGTTCCCACAGGACTTAAGCGAGTGACCCAGGGATTTAATTCCAAAAACAACTGCGACGCTCGTACGTACTCCTACTTGCTTCCTACTGTGGCCTTTTCTCCCAAAGATTACGACACCGAGAATGCAGCAGTGTTTCGCTTGGAAGCGGAGACTCTCCAGAAGGTTAACCAGCTTTTTGCCCTCTACAAAGGCACCCATAATTTTCACAACTTCACCTCCCAGAAGGCTCCAAATGACCCCAGCGCCCGCCGCTACATCACTGAGATGTCCTGTGGAGAGCCTTTCGTCCGCAACAGTTACGAGTTTGCTGTGATCACTGTGCGAGGCCAGAGCTTTATGCTGCACCAGATTCGCAAGATGATCGGCCTGGTGATCGCTGTAATTAAGGGCTATGCCAAGGAGCAGGTGATAGAGCGGAGCTGGGGTCAGGAGAAGGTGGATGTCCCCAAAGCTCCGGGACTCGGTCTGGTCCTGGAGAGAGTTCACTTTGACCGCTACAATAAGCGCTTCGGAGGGGACGGTCTGCATGAGCGGCTAGAATGGGATCGGGAAGAGGAAGCAATCAAAGCCTTTAAAGAGGCTCATATTTATCCCACCATTATTGAGACAGAACGTGAGGAAGGCTCCATGGTCAGCTGGATGTCCACTCTTCCCATCCATGACTTTGAAGCAACAGTTACAGGAACACAGGACAGTAAAGGCCAAAAACAGGTACGTCTGAATTGTTTATTTGATTGATGTGCAGCATATGGAGAAAATATATTTCTGTTTCAGTTAACTGTTTCTCCCCCTCTCCACCCTACAGGAGAATGCAGACGAAGGGAACAACTCTGACTAAGACTGCCTCTGGAAACAAACCTTTTGTCATAAAAATGTCTTTCTATTTAGTATAATTTTTTTTTTGCTGTTTCAAATCATAAACTGTTGCTATGAACAGCTAATTTAATAAAGACTATTCTCAGTTTTTTTAAGGTGATCCTTCTTTATAGTTCTTGGTGGTTATTTTGTATTGGAGTAGCTACAGTAAAGATGCCTTATTAGATAAAGGGACTCCTCTGTAATCAAGCTATATATTGACTATTGTAAAAGGCCCTTTTTTTGTCCCTTTAAGCTCCAAATAGGAAAATCTCACAAAATAAAAAACATATATACATATTTGTCTTTTTATTAATTTCCAACATTTTTAAATCTAATTTTTTACAACAATCAAAGTCAAATTAATAATTCAAATCAGTAATGGATGTTAAAATTGTTAAAACGGTTATCTAATTCAATAGATGAGTAGGGTAGTCTCAGCGTCATTTGCTGGATGGAATTACAGTCAGTATGCATGTATAGTATTACTGAAGTTTAAAATATCAACAACACTTCATATTGGTAGAAAGCAAAAAATACTAAATTTAGTGCATTAAAAATCCAACTGATGTTCTTCTGGAGCAGCAAGTTCTATTTTCATTACCCCTATTTGTCAAACTCTTTTATGGATAAACTGGTCCTAAATTACATACATTTACATTGCATTAGCAATTAAATGTTGATGTTTGGTCCATTACCCACCGTGAACTGTACGGGATATAGTATGGTAAATGACCTGCACTCATATCGTGCTTTCTCAGGTCAAGAGATTAGACTCACGATCTGATGGTGGTAAGCTACACTGTCGCCTCAGCTGCCCTGGGGCTTTCTAACAGAAAAGAGCATCTTCTGATCGCCACCAGTGGGCTATGCGGGTGATGTCTCTTTCCAAAGGACACAACACTGAAAGCTTTTAGCCGGCAACCAAACACCCTTAGATTGTAGGGCAAACTCCTGCACCTGAGACCACCGTCGTCCCATATGAGCAGAATACAAATATAAAATCAACAAATTTAAAATTATTTGAATGCTAATTAGAATTTTAAGTATTGTTTGTGTCAATAAGTTCAAAGATTTAAATAATCGTAATCTTTAGAGATGTTCTGTGTTCACTCCTCAAGTCCGGATCTCACATTTATTTAAAGAAAGCTTAAGACAATTGATATATTACTTTGAATTGTATGAATGCAAATATTAAAGGGATATTTTACCACTGATTTAAGAAAAGGCAAGTCAAAGAATGCTAATCATCCTTTTATTTCAGCAATTTTCAACACATTTGGTCATGGGTGGTTCTAAACGTTCTGGTCCCTGTACTGAAGACATAATACTCAAAGAAATTCTAATGATATGTGCTGGAACAGACATGGTTACTTTTAGGTCATTTGGATCCATTTAATAAAATATTTTTTTATTCTGTTTTACTAATTATTAAAAAAAAAAAAATAAGGTGATAGCTTCAGTGGTATTGAGATAGGATGCTAGTTTTCCTCTGCTAAATGTTTTTTTTTAAGAATAAAAAAGAAAATTCTAATTTTTCAGGTGGATTTTTCAGTTTTTCTTGAGTTGTAATTCAGATTTCATAGAAAACTTTTTTTTTTTTACTTATTTAAGGTCAAAAATAGGTAAAATTCCTAAAATATGAATGTATATTGACCTAATAAGAGAATTTTACTTAAACATAAATTAATAGAAATTTCACCTTATGCAGCTATCTTAATATATTTAAATCCCTTGCCCTGTTTTTTATTTCATGCTTTTCTGTGGCCCCCATGAAAACATGCTGGCCCCCTCATACCCCCCTGGTACATTTGGTCTAGAACCGCCAATGCATTTGGTTGATGAAGGATCCCTGCAGTGGCCCGTGTAACGTTTAAGTCCGCAAAAAAGTAAACGACCCTGGACAAAAGCAAATAATTAAGTAAAAATTCTGTTTATTTTTTCCACTTTATGTGACCCTCGGATTCGATGTCTCCCAAATCAGATTTAATCACTATTCTCAACCCGAACTCTCATCTGCTGATCTGTTTCGCGTGAGTTGTTTAACCGATTTTCCAGCAGACACGCGAATGCACCACAGAATCAACAAACATGGCGCCTTCCAAAAAGCGCAACGTGAGTTCTAAACCTCGTGCTAAAGAGGATAAAACAGATTTGTTAGGTATGGTTGATCGTTTACTCGAAAGCAGAAAACATGCCAACGACGTTTTTGATATTCTTGAGTCCCTTCAGGTGAGAAAATGTTTACATTTTAGCATCTTCCGAACACAGGTCGTTACGTTCAGCTAATTCCAGCATGCTTACCCACATTTTCCCTTTGAATTCACACAGTCAGATAAAGATAAGGATGTTATCTGCGCTATTAACGCCTGCTGCAAGCTGTTCTGCACATTATTGGAGAGAAAGGATCTATTTATTGGGAAACTCCCTGGAGAAGATGAGGCTTTGAACGGTGAGAGTTCTGATCTGAAGTGATAAAGTTTAGCACATTTTGGATTTAAGCTATACTATTTTAATAAATAACCACCAAGAAGTACTGCCCAAAGGTTAGTTAACTCTCTTAAGTCGAGGTGTTGATTTTCCTGATAATAATAATAATAATAAAAAAGAATTTAAAAAGGGCCCCCAGCATGTTTACAGTGGACACAATCTGCTTTACGGCAGAATAAATTCTGCATGTCACACCCACCTGATATATTTATTGCTAAAAAGTTTCTTCTTTTTTTTTTTTTTCTAATTCAATGGATTCTAATAAATTATAACAACTGGGGAAAGATTGGGTTCAACCTTGCAAAATAGTGTAAATTCAATTGTCTGCATTTCAAATACACAATTATAACTTGCAGCAGAAACAAATTGTTATTCAACTTTTTTGTCCATTTTAGTTGTTTATTTATTAAACTCCTTAATTAATGGCATTCAAATTTGAGAATTTTTTCTTATCGGATCAAAGTTTTCCTCATAATTACGCTTTTTATTGTTTTGCATTTAATAGAATGGTTAAATTTGGTCTCTGTCTGTTGACAGAAAGAACCAAAGGATTTCTGACAAAACTGCAAGTTTTTACTTCTATTTTCTAGGTGTTAGGGATGCCAGTGATAAATAAGATTGGAGAAATAATTTAAAGTTGTTAAGTGGCAGGAATATCAATGCCTGTCTGTCAGTCATCACAAAAACTCCCAGAAATGTGAAAGCATACATTATGAATGTCCTAAAATTTAGTGTAATTGTTTTGCATATTTTAATATTGTTGTACTCTTCCTGAAAAATGGGCTGTTGGATGTCACTCTGTGTTATATTAACACCCTGTTATAAATTCTGAGCTTTAGGTTGTTGGCCTCTGATGCTTTCAGTGATGTTTTAAAATGATTCTTTTTGTTCTAGGTGAGCACAGCGCTGAGGAAAAGTACAAGATTTTTATGCGCCACCGTTACAACAACTGTGTAGAGATGATGCTGGAGCATCTTAACCATGAAACGCATGAAGTTAAGGTGAGCTTACTTTGACTTTCGGTTCTTTCTTTCGTACGAACTTGGTTAGTTCAATCGGCATGTCATTGATAAGAAATAAACAAAATATTCTGCATGAAATCCTTATAATTGATTTATGTACGGTTGGATTTATAAATCCTTCATACTACAAATATTTCCCCGCAGATAATATATTGATTATACATGCATTTTATTGTTAGACAACAATAACTTGAGTGAATATAAAATGTTTTGAAAGTTCAGTTTCATTTATTAAGGGACTAAACTGTTGTGTTGTGAGCTTCATCAAGATGTTTCTACTATAAGTTTTTTTTTTCATCAGGAGTCTTTGCCTATGAAGTTACCCATAGCAGATATTTTAGCTTAACTTTTTCTTTTTATTGAATCACTAACAGGGAGGACTGTGGAGTCTCCAGTACTAAACTTGTTTATTTTTTTAATGCTTTCTAAGACTTCTAAAGTCATTGATGCATAATTTGGGTTATCAAGTAAGGTTCCTACTTGGTGAAATCTTTGAAGTTGGCTAATAATTCCAGACTGCAATATGTCAGTGACTTTGATTATCTATGTCCTTGAATTCCATTAAATAAAGTGTTGCTGCTTTGATAATATAAGACAGGTTCTTAAGATTTCTTCTCTCAGTGGATCTGGGTTAGGCCTTATATTACCATAGCCAACCCTGTTTTCCAAAATGAATATGAAACTGTATTTTACATTAACCTGTATTATATATTTTTTTATAAAGGAAGAATTTAAGTGTTAAAAATGGAGTAAAGGTAACACAGAAAAGCAGATTAAATCTGTAAAAGGGCAAAGATTTTCTGTCATAAGGCTTTAAGCAGGAATCATTTCTTCTGCCTGACTGTAGGAAAATGCCCTCTGCTGCCTGATGAAATTTGCTGCAGGCCAAGGAAAGCATCCTCTGGAAGATCTGGACTGGAGTGAACATTTCAGCTTCCCAAGAGAGCTGATTCAAGTAGGAGTTTATCTGTTTTTTTTATGAACGATATGTCACATGCTCCCTTTGGTGTTTTAATTAATTCCTATCTTAGTGTACAAAGCTAAAAAAAAAATCATGATGGTTAAAGCAATTTTGGTTTCTCTCACTGACAGGCAGTAGTGCAAAGCCTCCTGTCTCAGACCTCAGACAGCTCCCTGATGATCTCCAGGTTCCAGGAGTTCCTTGATATGGAAGATGTACGCTACTATGTAATGAGCTCCATCCGTGCAAATGTCGCCACAGTCATGGAAAAAAACAAAGGGGTAGGAAACCATCACCTTCCACTTGTACCTTTCCTTATTTCAGCATATTTATTGCACATTAATTTATTTTTTTTAAACTAATTTCTCTTTTTAGGCTGTTTTGCCAGTATATCAGGGCAATGTGTTCACTCTCATGTCCAACCTTAATATGCCGAGCCAGGACTCAGAGCTTACCAACTTCATGGTCAAACAGGAAGGTAAGTTTGATGTTTTTTAAGTTAGCAGAAAACGGCTGCTTAGATCTGATGCTTTTTTTTTTGCTTAACAGTCATCATTTAGGAGAAGAAAAAGATTATTTGAGTGTTTTGTTAATATTACTAACCTAAAATGTTATTTTTAGCCAAACATGAGGATTGGAAGGCAGCAAAACTGCACGTAAGTGAAATATAATTTTTTTTTATCATTATTTGTCTTAAATGTGTCCTAAATTAGCCTTGCAATGCACTCTCTCCCCTTCAGGAGCACAAACGTGCCTTTGAAAGGATGTGGCTGGGATTTCTCAAGTATAAGGTAGATATTAGCAAAAACTGAAAACAGTCTGTCCTTGTTTATCCCTTCAGTCTCACTGGGTTTGTTGATGTCTCTTTCTGCCGCAGTTGCCTAACAGCATGTATAAAAAGGTGTTGGTTATACTTCATGACTCCATCTTGCCACACATGAGCAAACCCACCCTTATGATTGACTTCTTGACAGCTGCTTACGATGTTGGTAAGTTTATTATTCTTTTCTGGCTTGAAAAGTCCTAATTAAGCCTCCCATTCAGGGTTTAGGTCTGGAAATGAATATCTTGGATTTTCCCATATTGCTCGGCTATTTATTGCATTTGCAAAATAATCACAATTGAACAAAACCAAATTTTTAAATCGCAGAGGTACTGAATTTTAACTAGGAGACTAATTTTCTTTTCTATTCTATTTTAATAGGTGGAGCAATAAGTCTGTTGGCCCTGAACGGCCTGTTTGTGCTCATTCATCAACACAACTTGTGAGTATCTTTATTGAAATGCCAGATTCCTTCATTTAGCTGTAGCCAAAATGCATAAATTAAGCTTCTTACCTTAAGCTTTGTATTTTAAGGGAGAATGTAAATCTTTGTAAACTGTTATGTTTGTTTGCAGAGATTACCCTGATTTCTATAAAAAGTTGTATAATCTTCTGGAGCCCTCGGTTTTCCATGTGAAGTACACGGCACGATTCTTTCATCTGGCCAATCTCTTCCTGAGTTCCAGGTAACACCATTCCTTACATGTTGTTTTATAATAAACATTAATGTGCAGAAATTATAAAGGGTCTGTGCTCTTCTCCAGCCACCTTCCAGTCTACCTGGTGGCTGCATTCGCCAAACGCCTGGCCCGTCTGGCTCTTACAGCTCCGCCCACAGCTCTTCTCATAGTGCTGCCCTTCATCTATAACCTGATCCGACGCCATCCCTCCGCCAGGGTTCTGATTCACAAGCCCAGCTCAGAAAATGGTGAGTCATATTTCTCCTTACGGCTGAGTTTAGGTCTGTTGCAGCTTTCTTAGTCATTACTGGTAATAACTGTTTGTAAGAATCCAGTTTTAATTTGTAACTTGCTTCTTAGGATGTGGGTTCAACTATGCACTACAGTTATTTCTGTCATTATTTGCAGAGCTTCTTGAGGATCCATACGTGATGGAAGAAGAGGATCCAGCTCTTTGTCATGCTTTAGAGAGCAGCTTGTGGGAAATTAAGGTAAATGTTTTAGCTTGTGATGAAGGAGAAGCTTTTTATACACTTAACCTCTTAAAACCGGAGCCATTGCGCGCAGCTCCAAGCTGACTCCAAGCTGTCTGAAATTTTCTTCATGTGGTTGACATGATGTAGAACAAATATAATACAATAAAACCTGCCTTTTCTCAAGAATATCTTTACTACTGCTGTTCAAAAAGGACCCATCATTTCCGAGAAAAAACAACAACTTTGAGTCATGTTTGAGCTGATGCAGGTTGGTCTGTGTTCTAGTCACCCAATTTTAATTTATATATTAGGAAACTAGACAGTGTTAGCTTTGAAATAATGTATTGCTCATGTATTTTGGGCTTACAGTTCCTAAGTTATTTGCTTTTCCATTTGGGTATGCAAAATAGGCAAGGATTACCCAAAATGAGGTGGATGTTAAGAGGTTAAATTGGGGCAGATGTTTTTTTTTTTGGATCAGTTCTGTTTTCTTCAGCTCTATGCTCGCTCATAGATTAGTTTAGATAAAAGCAGTAACACGCTCAACTTCAGTGCTAAATGAAATGCTTAGCAGCAGTGTACAAACTTAGTATTATCTATCAACGAATAAATCTATGCCACAGTTTCTTTAGCTGTTAAAAACAGTGTATACTTCTTAGTTTATAAACACTGTTAGGTGCTTATAAATCTTGTGTGAGACAGATTTTTTTAATTGCAATTTAACAAAATGATATTTTTAACTCTGAGTTGGTCATATTACACAGACGTAGATTTCATCACTAAACCTTTAGATTGCAGTAATATGCTTAGAGTTAAAAAATCTTCATGTTTATGGTGAGCGCAAAGGTACATGCATATAATATTGCAATCACAATATTGGCTTAAAAACAACAACTCAGTTATGACTTTTCTGCAGAAATATTAAAGAAATACTAAATTGAACTTTGAAAGTTTGTCAATCTTGTGAATATTCTTAACAAACAGGCAGTTTAAAACGGCATTTATAGATCATACTGACTACTATCAATTTGAATTTCCAAAGAGGATCAAATAAATGAATATATCTGTGATACAATCATGTGCCTCTACGCATTGTGGAGAGCAATCTTTCAGGTCCATGAAAGGAAACTAGAATATCTTGTTTGATGCACGGATGGCTAATATTTGACTGGTCATACATTTTCCTTTTTAGATGGAATAAAATGAAAGAATTGGTTCATTTTCTGAAAGTATCTGAAAGTTCCAGGAATTAAATGGTGAAGATGAAAAAGTTCAAAGAATCTTCCTGGAAAGTATTTCAACTGGAAAGTTCAAGGACTGTAAGTTGCATTAAAAAGTTCTGACAAAGCAACTTGTAACTTTTGGGAAAACATTCTGGAAAAGAATCTTATCAGTACCAGAAAACCATCTCTTGAAAGTGTTTGCTAAAAGCTAAACCTCTAAGCTCTGTAAAGTACATGTAGGTTTACCCACACGTACTCTGAAAGTACACAATAAAGTTGATTAGTTCTAAAAAAATATATCTTGGTATTGTGCAATAATATAGTACAGCAAGATTTGTTTTTATACTTCTGTACCTGCAAGATGGGGAAAAAAGTGTGTTTTGTCAAAGGAGCCTCTAAGTTCTTTGAACGTTTTAGAAAGTAAAAATAAGTCATAGGCAGCACCTGGTACATTTTGAAAAGTAATCCTTTAGGAAGATTTGGGCTTAATTACAGTACATCGACCACCCTATTATCTATAGAAGCTATAGAAATATTCTGTCTACGGTAATATTAATATAATAGCAGTCTCTAAGACACTTCATTACCCTTATTCTCCTGTTTTACAGACACTGCAGAAGCATTATCACCCAGATGTGGCCAAAGCTGCAATGCTGATAAACACACCTCTATCAGAGCAAGAAGATGATATCGATGAGTTGCTGGAGATGACTGCTTTTGAGGTAAACAAGCTTTTTCTCTTCTAACTTTCAAACCATTTTATTTTAGCTCTGTGGTTTGCAGAATGCTTTCAGTACAAATTCAAAGAACAATACTGCAGGATTTGCTGGAATTGATTAACATGGTCTATAGGTTGTTAAATGTATATAGTATTAGTTATTCAGCACTGAAGTATAAATTAGAATTGAAATGCCAATGTTTTCAAAATCTCTAGCATGAATAGGAATTTATCCATTGTTCTTGTTTTCAGCTAATGGAGCGAGACCTGAAGCCGTCCTCAAACCAGAGTGTCCCAATGGAGTTTGAGATAGCTACACATTTACTGAAAGGAGGAGGAGAAGTGTTAGGACAACATTTCTGTCTAGTTTAAAAGAAGTTTTCAATAAATCTGATGAATGCTTGAATTGGTTTGGAGCCACAGAGACGATGGACAGACTTAACCTGGAAAACTGCCTCCTAACTTTTTTTTAGGTTTTGAGGAAAATGATTGTTTTGTTTTTAACCTTGACTTGTAATGATAATTTTCTACCCATATATCAAAAGTTTAAGTGGTATATAAATATGAAACATTTACATCTACAGCCGAGTTATCTCCTTTTTGACTAAATGTTAACATGCAGCACATTTAATGCCTTAACTCCACCCTAGTTCTAAGGTGCCATTGATGATGATAAAATGGTGTGACCTAAGAACCCTGGAAAATGATGCAATTATTAGAATTCACTTAGAAGGTATTTGGATATTTCTTGTGAACCAAAGGGGCTAGGCAAGTGAGAACCACATTATTAAGCAATGATGAGATAGATCTGCAGTCTCCATTGATGATGATGATGCATTGGCAACAACCCCACATTATCCATATGTTTGTAAATGTATCTTGCAAAGTCTCATCCAAACAAAAGGTCAGACAAATTGAGGCTTAATTAGGCAAAGATCTCCAGAAATGCAAACTTAATCCCTTATATTGGATTTGTGCAATAGGCTGCAAGTCATCCTTGTTAAGGAGAATTAGTTCTCACTGATTCACTAGGTTGATTACAATAAACGAAGCCTCTGTATTACCCCATTATCATTAGAAATCATAGCACTGTATGAACGCTGCCCAATGGAAGACTTTTGATAAACCAATTACATTGGACCAATAATCTGAGGAAGATATAAATAAATCCTACCTCGTATGAAAAAGACTCAAACAGCAAATCTCTGCTAAACAAAAAGAGGATCATCTTTTTTTGGACCAAAGAGTCCCAAAATCTCACGACTAAGGAGCAGTGCTTTTTCTTCAGCAGAAGGGTTTTGGTGAAATTTTAACAAAGCAGCATTACAAAGTTTGATTTGCTTTAAAAGACCTAAGCAAAGATTTTCCACATTAGCTAACTTTGCCCTGATTTGGCCACACATAGTTGAATTCTAATAAGACATATTAGAAAAAAAGAATCATTTTGTCAGTTTAATTAAAGGCATTGACAAACTGTTTATGAAATAGTATTAAAAAGATCACAATAGGCAGAAAGGAATCCCATCCAGGTCTGTATCATGTCATAGGAGCTTTTACCTCTCACTTTGTATTAGCGTTACCATGGTGCCACTGAAGGCTCACAGTCTTGGTAGATTGGGACTGTATTGCATGAAACTGTAGAACCCATCAACATTATGTCCCATTGATTTTGAGTCTGCCCTCTTTCTCCAAAATCCACTGAAGGACATAACTTTTTCGAGGTGAGTAAGCCCAGAATATCTGTTTGAGACTAAGGTCATAAACTGAAAGAAAGAGATGGATAGAAAGAGATGGAAATCTAAAGTAAGGAGTTAATCATATGAAAAAGATTTAAAAATCTTTAAAATTTTTAAAATTTAAATTCAAGTTCAAAGCATTTCAGCTTTCTCACCTCTTCATGTGTAACTGTTCTCCTGTAAACGCAGAGTTTGTGACAGAAAGCGTTTATTTGCACAAAGGTACATCCAGGTCACCATAGATGGGGATTTACTGCCCTCTGAAAAAGGTTGATGCTCCTCCTATCATCACGTGGTGATGAGTAATCCTACCTTACATAACTCAATAGAGCTCTATCCTCACTGATCACATTCACACTTCCATATATTTGGGGGAATAAAGTTAAACTGCAGATGCGGTTCAGCGTTAAGGAATGCTTTTATTCTTAGAATTATTTTTTGGATTTAAGCTTGATTTATCCACAAGTTATAGAAGAGTGGTTGAGGTGATAGTGTATAATGTTTTATATCATTAGGGTTGATATGGTGCATATTTTTCATTACAACTATTTTAATTGGTCCTATTTAAAAAAAAAAAAAATAAGGGTTTATCATATAAACTTATTTCAACCAAGCTTAGATCTTATGTAATTTAGGATTTACTTGTCTCCGTAGTTACTGAACACTTTTCTTTGCTTTGCCTTTTTAATTTGTTACTTTGATTTATGGATACAGTAGGCATCAGATTAGGGACATTTTGGAGGAAAATTATGAAACAGGATTAAAGCCAGTTTTTGGTGGGTTTTTTTTCATAACTCAGAGTTAAGATTTTTTTGAATTCTGAGGAAACAAATCTAGAATTTTGCATGAATTTCCACAATTGGCCTATTACTCTTCTTTAAAAATTGGAAATAAGCATTGTTGCATAGATTTGTGTTGCTGGTAACTTTGTCTATTTTCTGTCTGAGTCATTAATGGAGCTGTCCGTGTTTCTTCTCCAGCCCTCATGACCAAGTTCTACATGAATCTGTTATTCTGCAGTTTATTTAATCTAGTTGTGTTGATCCATGAGGTTTCCCAGAACATGCATGACGTTACACTAGGCCTTGAAGACTTATTTTGGATCTCCTGGCTAAGTGTCTTTGTGTTGACAAGTCATTAATGTCAACAACTGTGTTTAGTCTCCTCTTTTTCACCCCTTAATAAATAAACCTATTTTACAATAAACATATTTTGCTTCCTATGTTTATACAGCTGCAAAACAAACTGCTTGGTGAATTTTTCTGTACTTTAGCAGGTTCTTTTACTACTTAATTTGATTGTAAATGAGAGGATTGTGAATTTATGCATATTATATATATATATATATATATATATATATATATATATATATATATATAAAATGCTTAGCCCTATTTTGATTGGATCATAAATGTTTACAGCCCTTAAAATCTGCAAATCCTTTGAACGCAGGCATAAACTGGATCAAGTTGAATNTATAATGCTTAGCCCTATTTTGATTGGATCATAAATGTTTACAGCCCTTAAAATCTGCAAATCCTTTGAACGCAGGCATAAACTGGATCAAGTTGAATGCTTTTAACATCATGTGAGAAGAAGTGGAGGTGGTGGAGTATAAATACCTCGGTGCTCACCTGAACAACAGACTCAACTGGAGACGCAACTTTGAAGCTGCCTGCAGTAAAGGACGGAGTAGAGTGTATTTCCTTAGAAAGCTTTGCATTTGCAGTAAGATGCTAAATATCTTCTATCAGTGCTGGAGAGTGTGATGTCTTCTGTCATCATCTGCTGTTGTAATGGCATCAGAGCAAATAATTAAATAAGCTCAACAAGCTAATAAAGAAGGACAACTAGAACCTTTGTAGATCATTTCACAAAGAAGAACTGTATAAAATGAAGAACATTATAGAAACCTTAAGGGCTATCTTTATCAGACTGTTAAACTCCAACAGAGTGTCTTCAGTTGAAGATTTATCCAGATAAATTAGCTATTTATAAACAACAGTATAGGTGTATGAACCCAGAAGTGTATAATATTTGGTTATTTAAAGAAAAAAAAAACTATGCAGAATACAGTAATTGTCAGTATACTATCAGTTTGTCATTGGGAACCTAGTCATAGAGATATAAAATAAGCAGACAGACCTTTGAAAGATCCATCATTTAAACATTTATTAAATAATATAAATAAATACTGCTTGCGACAATGGGTGTGGACAAAATGATAGCGCAGAGTGCATATAAAATTGTATTTTTAAAGTTTTCTAGGAGATTATGTGGGCTTAGACAACCAGCACTCGGGTGGACGATCTGCTGAGCTAAGCCAGTCACAGATGGAGTTACAGTGAATCCAAAGTCAGTTTGCTATAATTGGGGCTGGATACAAGCATCACAAGCACCTCCTGCATAACAAAGGCAAGGTCACAAAGTGCTGCACACCGCAGGCCGTTATAGCCTCCAATGCCATTACAGCAAAAATAAAACACAAAAGGTAAATTTTAAAGTAAGGGGAGGTTAAAACAAAACAGTCCAACATCAGTAAAAGGTCCGTCCCTGTCTTTGATATATTACATTACAAATCGTAAATATAAAGTGCATCTGAAAACTATTCAGAACACTGCTAGTTTCCACATTTATTTAAGACATCTTCAATGTGAAAATAATAATATAATAATATTGGCTTTTTTGATCCACATTTGGCATCACAGACCTCAAGTCTTTTCAACTATGATGCTACAGACTAAGATTCTATATTTGGACAGCTTGTCCTATTCTCCTCTATTATGGACTCTGGCTTTGCCAGGACATGGACACATTTGAAATCTTAGCTGTGATTTGGATTGTTGTCCTACTAAATAACATATAGATTTATTGATTCTTTAAACATAGGCTCAAATGCAGCAAATCTTGCACATGTACTTAATGCATTTGTAAATGATTTCATTACCCCCGACCCCATTAACTAACTTGAGGAATACTGTAATAAGCAGAAGATCCCTCAGTAAAACCAATCTGTCAGTGTTAAGAAAATGATGGGCTTTTACTGTATGTTTTAATGTGGACCCCAGGAAGACTAGCTGTTTGCCATGGCAACAGCTAATGGGGATCCTTAATAAAATTACAAAATTACAAATGGGCAATGTAGGTTAGTATTTGTCAATGAACACATTAATAAACCTAAAACTTTAAAACATGTGTTTTAACTAGACACCCATCCTAAATACACAGGTAGTAAGCAGGATTAAGAATAGTCAAAAATCATAATGTTAAAGTAAAAATAATACAACTTTTGATTTACACTGTACTGTGAGAACATGCTCTTTTTAACCAGTGAAGATGAAAATTGAATCTTTGATGTCTTATCCTGCATGACCCCACCCTTCCTTCAGACAAGCATGACTCCATTACAGTCCTGCTCAGAGGAGAACAGCATGTCTTTAAAAGATAACTTTAATTTTTAAAATCCAGGCTGAGACAGAAAATATAAAGGTCCGATTGGGACAGCAGATTGTTCGCGTCGTTAAATGACACTTTGCCTTCAGCGGTTTGCATATTTAAAGGGGTCATTGCCTATTTCTGCCCAATTCAGTTTCCATCTGTTCCCAAGGCCCTGTCTCACAGGGCCTCATGTCAGGCCTGAAACCAATTTAGAGCAAGTAATGCCTCCACCATAAAGATGGGAACAGACAGCAAGCAAGTGTTGCTAGGCAACAGAATAGAACGGAGCATACTTTCTGCAACCTCTCCTTGTTCATGCTCTCTTGGTGTCCTTTTCTTTCCCCCCAGTCCTCTGGCCTGTGCACTGTCCCGTGTGAACAGGACAGAGGTTGGCAGTGGCAGAACACGCTCAGGACCTGCTGCTGATGTTACCTCACTAAAACCAGCAAACCTGATTTAATTTGAGCTCCTTTAGTGATTCTAGAGAAATGAGGCAAGCAAAGGGAGGCTGGTTTCCAGGCTATGTTTTTGAATGTGACCATGGACACTGCACCAAAGATAGAGTTACAGTAGGATTCTGGATTTTATGAATGTTATGTGCAGAATCTTCCCTTTTATTTTTGAATGCTGTCCAAATAGAAGATGGCTGCAGATTATATTAAGGACCTTAAACTTGACTTAAGCTTCCGTTTTATATGAATCCCATACTACATAATGTATATCAAACAAAAACAAAACAATTACCTTATTTCTACATAGGTATATTTTCCTTGTTAGCTGTACTTTGCAAAATATTCATAAAACTGTCAAACTGATTTCCCCTTACCACCAAAAAACTGTATTTTATTGGGTTTCATGTGATAGAACAATGGAAAGTATTGTGTAATTGTAAAGTGGAAGGTAAAAGATATATTTTTTTCAGAGATATATTTACATTAAGTTCCTCCTTTATTGATACCCTTAAATAAAATAAAGTGTATTTAACTGCTGTTAAGAGTTTCCTAATTAAAAACTGGAGTTTAGCATTTTTTTTTAAAGTTATGTTTTTT